CTATTTCTTCTCACTCATGGAAGCATACAGTATGGACAGACGGGGGAAGGGGGGTAGAGATGTATCTCATAAAACATGCCTTCTCTTTGGCTTAGATTATAATAACAGTGTCTGAGTCACCACACGGTACATCGATGCAAAGCAACTGCCTGCAGGAAAACCAAAGCCATGCATTTTTCTGCAAAATGAGGAAGAGAAAAACACCCCGTTTATTTTCATTCTTTTGGCTAGTCTAACTTGCTTCTATTTCTCATTAACCTTTAGAAAATAAAGCTAGCTTTCCTGAGGGAAAATAGCACTTTGTCTCCTTACCCCAATCGTGGCTAACCTTCAACATCCAAATTTGGCTGGAGACCTACATTATGTGGCTTCTTAGTCTACTGTTATGAGCCTTGCTTCCGGCCGGAAAGAACCTGGGTTCAAATCCCACGGAGGCTGTGAAAATTATAGCATACGTGAGGCCTGATCCAAAGACCATCAAGGTCAACAGAAAGATGTGTCTGGGTCATGAATTAGCCTTTTTGTGATGAATGTAGTGTAAGGACTTGAACAGAAATAAGGTCTGATGTATTTGTCATTTCTCAAGACACAAAGGGGGGTGGGGGCAAAATGAGTCCTCCACAAAAAGCTTGTCTGTACCCCATAGGTAGTAGGGTCTGCTGTAGTTGCTAGCTAAGTTCCATGGGAAATGGTGTTTATCAGTGAAGAGGGATTCCAAAGGATGGGTTCTTTTCCTTCTCCGATAACAGTAGAAGTATTTGTTCTGAGCTTGTGCTGTGGGGTCTGAGCCTCAGCTGCTGTAAATCAGCTCAGCTCCATAGAAGTCAATGGATTTGTGAAGTCAGTAGAGCTATGCTAATTTACACCAGCTAAGCATCTGGCTCTAAATTTGAAAAAAAAAGTTTTTAATGAAGTGTAACATAAGAACTGGTCAGTTCCTCCAATTTAATCTGTCTCAATTTACGCTAAGGGTAGCCCGAGAACAAAGAAAAGAAATACAATTTCAGATAGGGCCAGTGGAGGCCTAATAGATTAAGCTGGGGCTTGGGGGAGGGGGCAGGAGAAGTGGGTTGTGTACCCTGAGCCGGATACTTGACTGGTGTAAATTGGCATCGCTCTATTGACTTGGACCTGGCCTGATATATCTGTCTGTAGGTATTCTGGGAAACTACCTTTCAGTTAAGGTAGTTTGGCTTAACATTCACTGCTTTATGGTTCTCTGGCCTACCAGTACTAACTCATTGCTTTGTAAAACAATGCGGGCTACTTCTGAGTAGTATATGAAAGGTGCTATCTAACACCAAATTGTGTTCCATCATTCAGGGCTGGATGCTCAGCTGAGCTTAAGCAGCACAACTCCATTGAAACCAATGGAGATATGCTGATTTACACCAGCCGACGATCGGATGCTTGGGGAAATTCATCCCCATTCCGAGGGCTTGCCCAAGACCCTATGCAAGATTCAAGTTGTACTTAAAGCCCTCTTCACACTTCATCCTAATTGGATCTGTGGTTGAGTCACCTCTTTAAGGGAAGTAAAAGGTTGCCTTTGGGATTCTAGTGGTATGTTTCCCATATTACGCTATTGCTGTGACCATTGAGTAAGTACCATGCTTTGTTCAGAGCTGTATCCAAGAAGCCATTTTCAATGCATTCATTAACTTTATTGAACCTACAAACATATGAACAATACAACAGATGCTGTTTGTGTTAGTTGCCACTAGATGGCAATCTTTATATAGGTTTCAGAGGAACAGCCGTGTTAGTCTGTATTCGCAAAAAGAAAAGGAGTACTTGTGGCACCTTAGAGACTAACCAATTTATTTGAGCATGAGCTTTAGCTTTATACAGGGTTTCATACCCCTGCTGCATTTTATATAAAACTCTTATTCTCCATCAAGGGACCAGCGTGCCCTTGCAGTTTGGAAAATGAATGTAGGCATAACATTGCGAATACAATGATCTGTAATTACTGTCAGACTAGGTTAACATTTTAAGGGGATTTAGCTTCCTGGGTGGTATTCCCCTAGGGTCTGCCCCACACCAAGCTCTACCCCCTTGAATTGAAATTATGAGCTCAACATTTGATGGCACCTGCTTTGGTGGGCTCCACTGGGTTGGTTCCTCCTCAGTGGGGTTAAGAAATGGACAGGGACAGACTAAGGCATAGGTACAATGAACCTGCACCTAAGGATCCAGCTTTCAACAACATAGTCTGGTCCGAATCTAAGCTTGGATAGGCCTCCCCGTGAAATAGGCAAAAATCATCCTCCTCGTCTTACAAAGGGGTAACCAAAGTGTAATCAATAATAAGTCCATGGTAGAACCTTAGGATGATACCTAATCTTCTAGACCAGTGCTACTCAAAGTGGTGGTCCGCGGACCGGTGCCGGTCCACGAGCCATTGGCTGCCAGTCTGCGTGCACATTGGGGAAAAAAAATTGCCAGTCCCCCACATCAGGTAGCTTGAGAAGCACTGCTCTAGACCACAGTTCCACCCAGATGCTTAGGCCTACACATTCAGACAGGTTGATATATTGGGTGTCCGACATGAGACACCACAGATTGAAATCACTTGTTGCCCTACATCTAGTGCAGTCATTTAGAGCAGTGCAAAATAAACAGGAAATGATACTGGTTTCATCAGGCAGGGTTTTATATATGCCCATTTTGCACTGGTGTCAATGGCCATGAGGAACAATGGAAAGCCATGCCACATCCACTAGGTCAACTCAACCTGAACCAAACCTTTATGGAGATTTTGAAAAGTTTGGGTAACTTTTTATGAAGTGTATCATTTGCCATAATTGTCACTGATCTTACCATTGCCTGGCTCCAGCCAGGTCTATATATCGAAGTTCTAAAACATAGTACAGAACAGCTGATCTTGCAATCTACCTTCCTTTCCAAAAGTGGTAGTGGTATCCAGTGCACGGGCTGGCAGTCAGGAGACATGGGTTCTAAGTCTGGCTCTGCCACTGATTTGCATTGTGAGCTTGGGCAAGTCACTTTCCCTCACTTTGACTCAGTTTCACCTCCCTCTCTGTCTTCTCGATTTTGACAGGGGAGGGCTGTCTGTTACTGTGTGTGTGTGTGCAGCTAGATGCTTCTGAAGTACAAATAAATAACATTAATAAGTTTCAACACCCAAAATGCAGGGTTTTTAACTGAACATAAGAGAACCACCAAACTTTCTGAGGTTCAGCCCAATATAATTCTGTGGCTAAATCCCTTGCAAGTCTGAAAGTTTAGCAGTGCTCTTTCCTCAGCATTCACAGCCGTAGTTTAGATTTGCTTTATGTGGGTGAGAAGGGGGTGGGGTTTGGGGGGAGCAGTTGTTGGAGGATTTTAAAGAACACATCAACCTCCACGATATATGATTCATGCTGGTGTGAAACCTAACAGACTGCTGGAAGGGTGACCAAAAGCACAGAATAGCCTGGTCCTTTTAAGGAACACTCCCTGTTATAAACCTTCCAAATTAATTTCCTGCGAAGTCCACCTACAGATATCCATAAAGAAGGGCTTATTAGTCCTAGGAAGGATGGATGATCCAGAATTTTACCTCCTCCCCCTCCCCCCATGCTGGGATGACTCAGTCTTCTCCACTGAGCTTCAGGTCAATCTGACCTGGAAAGATCCTATTTAGCAAGACCTATTCTGGGAGGTGAAAATTGAGTTGCAGCCAGCTTGAGGTCCAGTCCCCACTGGGGGGCTCAGATTATTGAACATAGGTTTGGCTGGCCAATGGGGATAGGGCCAAACCATCATCTAGTCTAGGTCCCATGGGGTGGGCAGAAAAAAACATTTTTAAAAGCAATAGAGTGCCACCTGTCTGTGACACTAACACAATTTGGTTTCATGTATGTTGGTGGGCTGAAACACGTGAAAAACTGGTTTAATCTGGAACTCTCCTCAAGTGGAGTTTGAGCACTGTTTCCAAAGTCTGTTGAAAGGCCAGTGTACAAGAAACCTAAATTACACCATCTGAGATGGGATCAGAAACTGGGTTTGAACCCAACTCTCCACTGTGGTTTCTTGTTTGTTTCCGTGGACACCGAGGAGACTAGTCTGTGGCTATGTCTACACTATAAACCAGGGGTGTGATTCCCCCGCACACGTGCTAGCTTGTAATGTAGATGTAGCCACGTTGACTGCTGTTTCCAGACCCCATGCCTTCCTTTCATAGTTCCTGCGAGAGGTAAACAACTGAGCTTTGCCAATTCAATTAAAAACACACATATACACATTACATAATGAAAGAAGAATGTGGCCCCCTGAAGCCTAGCCCTGTAATCTAATCTGCTGGCTGGTGGACCCCCAAAGATGATGCTCAAATCCTTTGCTGGAGGTCTCATCCCTCCTCTCTCTCTCTCTCTCTCCACACACACTCTTCTCTGTTTTTCTTTCCTTCTTGGCTTTCTCTAGCTGTATTGTTTTAAGTTGGCGGCTGGGCTGTCTGCCAGTTTAAATTTCATCTGCTGCTCTCCTCCTCCTCTTCTCCCCACCTCCTCCCCCCCCACACACCCTGCACCATCCCCAGAAGTGATACTGTTTACTTTCTCCGCTGCTTTCTCAATGTCTTTGTACACACTGCAAGGGATATAATCACCAGCTGTGGAGAGCTTTCTGAAACTTTAACTTATTCCTCAATGCCCCAGGGCTGGTGATCAGAAATAATAAAAAAAAATAATAATAAAACAATGCTGTCTTTAAAGAAAAAAAATGCATTTTTCACATGTTGGTCTGGAACTTGAACAATAATGCCTGTTTCCCCCTCATCTGCAATTTTGAGGCTTTTTTGGTTTTGGTGTTTAGTTTTATTTACTTCTTGAAGATGAGGAGGAAGAGTTCAATGTGGAAGTATCAGATTCTGAAGGGCGCGTTGTCTCCTCAGACAAAGCTTTAGCAACAATGTGGAGATGAAAGATTAGAGGATAAAAGTGTTTGCCAGAATTTCTTCTTCTCCTTCTTTTCTTTTTTTTGTCTCTCCCTTTTAGGGTGGAGGTGAAAGAGAGGTCAAACTGTGCCCATTGACCTTTGCCCTCTGACCTCGGTGAACTGAAGGAAAGCCTTTGAAGTAGTGAAGTGCCCACGAAAAAAAGAAAACCAAACAAGTTGCTGGCTTTTCCCTTTTTCCATATGAACTGGCAGCTGCTTAATGGAAGGTGACACTGCTATGGTGGGCTGGATGGGGGACCCCATGCATTGTTCCCCCCCACCCTTTCCTCAGCATGGAGTTAATTGGCATTGCAAAAAGCCCACCCACTCAAAGAGAGGGGTGGGAGAATGGAGGAGGCATATGAGAAAACAATCTTCATCCCCCATGACTGTCGCTCACTATGGCACTCAGTTTCTATATCTTCCCCACCTCTGACCCACTCCCCGTGTGTGGGAGCCTCCAATAAACATCTCATTTTTTAAATGAGAGAGTCCCCACACACAGGGAGTGGATGAGAGGTGGGAGGTGGAGATGGGGAAGATTTAGGCTTATGATAGCTAGAGCTGGAAAAGACCTGCTTAGATCAATGAGCCCTTTCCCCTGAAGAATTGAGAGGACGTGGCAGCTGTTACACGCGTTGCTGCTGTCACATGCATGACCCCTGCTGGCAGTTTGGGAAAAGACAGCTTTTTTATTGAAGACACCCATCCTTCTCTTAACCTCCCTATTATAACATGCTCCATGGTACAAAGATCTAGGACTGTGACTCTTAAAGCGCACAATAGACCTTATCATTCTTAGAAATATAGGCAAAAGGACTTGGCAAAATACACACCCTTCTCACAATATTTTGCCCATCTCTAGAACTGAACCCAAACCAAATTTTGTCATGTTTGAAATTATTATTGAATATATAGTGTGGTAGCCTCAACCTGAGCATGGCCTCATTGTGCTAGGTGCTGTACAAACATTTAATAAGAGACAGTTATCTTCAACTGTAACAAATCTATGGGAGGGCTGGGTAACAGTCATAGAGACTCGTTTTTGCATAGTTTGTCTATGTGCATGGCCGTAGCATAGCTATGTGCAATTTGTAGGTACTGAAGTTATTTAGTTTGCTTGCTTGTGGGTAGATTTTGAGGTGATAGATAAATAATCATGTTAGTGGCAGTATTCTCAGCTCCCCTCTTGCCTAGTCCGTATCAGCTGGTTCCGTAGACATCAAAGTAGGAATCTTGTGACGGGATTTGGTGGAGACAATAGTGGGTATTCCACACATGTAAGGTGAAGACATTAGGTGAGTTTTCTCCCCCCTCCCTGCCAACATACTCAATACACTATCTGCCCCTCAGGGGAAAGGAAGCAGGGTAAGCCCCAGCATTACCCCACACTAATCTTTTTTGCTATCTTCTTACGGGAGGAGGGAGTCTTTGCAGCTAGCTATGCCTCTCCAGGTTTCTTAGGGGCCAGTGACAAATGTTTCCCATCTGAAGTCCATTGTTGCTGGTGACACACAGGGGTGCTGGTAAGAGACTGGTCTTTATTTCCTAGCCTCAGTCAATTGACATAAATCAGGGTAATGGATGTTTAATATCCCTTGCATGGGGCCAGTCTCCTTTAACTCCAGTAGTGACTGTTACATTTCAGCAATAATGAAATGCAAATAAAACATAATGTCAACTAAATATGACAACCAGTCATGAATACTGTCAATTAATAGGCACACTAATAAGAACATGTAGGGATGAGGGCGGGGGCAGACAATCAGAACCTCCTGCCTCTTATTGGGCATTGGTCAATAGCTACTAACTGTGAACCTCATTGTTTTTCTACTCACACAGTCTCTTTGTATTCTCCAAACAATACCTTCTGCAATGGCTTGTTTGGCTGCTGAATTGGGTCTGCCACCTGGAGCCTATGTTTGCTGCATCTGATGTTTACCATTGTCAGTGACTGTGTGTGGGTTACTTCTGCCAGCGCCCAAGCACTGTCTGTAGTATTCTGGATGTCCTCCAGAAACAGAGTCAATGTTATCCTTGGTTATAGGTAGATGTCTTCTGTTCTTCATGTAGGTGGCTGATTATGATACTACATAAGCTTAGTGCTATTACTCTGGCAGGTGGCTAGTCACTTTCTGTTTGGAATCTAAAATTCTCTCTTTCTGACGCATCGTTTAAGTTTTATGCTAATTCTAATTTGACTCCACCTAGTAATCCTGATGTGGTGTACTGGATATATCAAATGAAATTGCTGCAATGAGCCACTTGTGAGCTTACCTGCCGTTAACTCATCTGGAATACAGTAGCTAACAAACTGTGATTTACAGTGCTGTACCTTGCTACCTGATGTATTTTGCAATAGCTCAGTTTAGAAAACGAGCAAACAAACTCAAACCTGAGTATTAATCCCTTAATAAGGGGCAAGCATTCCCATTTAATTCAAATAGATTTGCACCTGCCTTGAACTGAAAGCAATCAAGAATTGCATGTGGGTTCTGCAATCTGTTTCCTGTGTTTAATAGTTTTCACACTTGGGTACCTTGAGTGAAATCCTGGCCCTAGTGAAGTCCCAGGAGCCAGGAGGTCACTCATCATCTCCAGCGGCGGGATCTGTAAATGTGCCAAATAGAACTTCTCAGGCTCTGTTCTTACACATCTCAATGCACACGTAGGCACTGTGGGTTATATTTAGCATTTCTGACCTCATGATAATATGACACAATGTCGATTGTACAGAACCGTATTCTGTGTGGCTGTTTCATCTCTGTAGCCCCAATACGTTTTCATGCTTGCAGATTATTGGGCTTTTTTTCTGATGGCCATCTATCTAGAATGTAATACCAATGAATAATTATAGTATTTTATAACAGTAGCACCTAGAAGCCCCTGTACCTCCAAAACTGAAAATGCCCTTGTTGTTAGAAGCCTAGACATGACCTCTGATTTATTTGATGGCTTTATTTAAATCATTTGGATCGATATACATATGTAACTTGTTTTTTCCCCCATTGACCATACCATTAATCTCGTCTGTAGAGAACATCTAATTTTACCATAACGTCCAGTTAGCGTTTGCTTTCTCTCTCAGTGCTCAAGGGACTTCATGTGGTGGATGTATTTTTGGTGGCAGACGGGGTTCTAAAGCAATATGATCTGTTTTATCCTTAATGCATTCTACCCCTTTACACACACATGATCAAATTCCTTTAGAGTACCGTTTGCAGCCTGCTCAGTAGACAGCTTATGCGCTCACTTGATCATTATCATTTGCACTTTGGACCAAACACACATGAGAGCTTCCTATTCCACTATTTCCAAGTCTGCTGAGTCTACAGGTAAAACCAGGGTAGCTTTGCCTTATAGGCTCATTTTGTGCCAGCTGAATGAAACAAGCTTAGTTTTCAATTTTAACATTGGATGGTCTTACTGTGGTTACATTTTACTCATATCCAAGCTCTTCTTTGAATATTCACTTTTGTTTGTTTATTCTTCGTTTCTCAGACTGGCCTGTTGTAGAACCTTGTTTCTTAAATTTATTGAGACCCAACAAAGAATGGCATGCCTGTCTCCTGATCATAATCAGAGCCTTGTCATCCATCTGCAAGTTGATTAATAAATTTTTCTTTTGTATTTCTTTGCAGTTTGTACAGTGAGCAACATACTTGTGCTCATTATTTTAATGAATGCACAACCCAGCATCCCCTGTGGAGTGCACCTTTGTGTTGTGTTATGATTAGAGCTGGGAAGTTATTTTTGGCTAAAAAATCCAATTTCAAGTCATCACAAATTGTGCAAATTTGGGTTGAATCTGACAAATTGTTTCAGATGAAAAAATGGGAATTTTTGTAGACGTTTTCGAAACAAAACTTTTTGGCTTTTTGTTTAAAAAAAAGTAGCTATACTTAACTAACTTCACCCTCTCTCCCAAAAAAGGGTTAAAAAAAATCTGAAAAGGAAACGTTTTGTTCAACCTGAAACTAAGTGTTATCGATTTTTTTGCTTCAGTGAGAAAAAAGCAAAAAACTGTCATTTCACAGTGACCCCAAATTAGCCATTTACCAGATTTTTTTGGTACAGCCACTGAACCAAAGAATCACTTGTTTGCTCAGCTCTAATTACAAATGTCTCCACAGTGAGTGCAAGAGGATTTGGTCTTTGCTGTATGTTTACTCATGTCTTCTGACTTTGTGCCTTTGGTGTGCATTTTTAAGTTGCTGCACTTAGGTTCTTTCATTGCTTGCTGATATTTTCATTTGGGAAGCACAGTTCTTACTAGCCCTGCAAATAGACACTGTTCATTGTAGTGTCAAGTCCATTCCTGTAGTCCCTTTCCTTTGACCTGGTTTTTGGTTATACTGCAAATAACTGGGTCTCTAATTCGCTCATGTGTTGAGTGTTCAGATTCATCTGACCTAAGCAGTGGGGCCATATGGGTAGAGCACTGGAGTGGGACTCTGGGAACCTGCATTCTATTTCTAGCTCGGCCGCTGGCCTGTTGTGTGACATAGGGAAGTCATGTCACCTCTCCTTGCCTCAATTTCCTCATTTGCAAATGGGAATAACGATAATCACCTTCTCTGAGAAGTGTTTTGAGATCTACTGATGAATAGCGCTCTATAAGAGCGATTGTCATTTATTTATTAACTTGACTGGTAGGTCTGTGACATTAAGGATCGATAGTCTCACCTGCTAGCTGCTTCCTTGTAAAGAAAATGTGCTTTCCCCAAATGACATTCTTGCCTGGATCAAAGTACTTTTGAATGACTTTGTCTAGCAGTCTGTAGTCCCCCCCGCCCCACCCTTGTGTTCCCATTGGAATGTACTATAGATTTCCAATGGCTTAATGCCTGGCACATGCAGCAGTGCAGAGGACTTTACCCTCCTCCATTTCTTTTCAATACCACTTGCTTTCAGAAAAAAATTTGGAAGCACAGCAAGCCTCCCCATTCAGTTCTCTGCCAGGCAGAGGGATTCAGGTGGCTTTGTTGTCTTCATTTTTGTCAGCATTTAGTTTACCATGCAGCGAACATACGACAAACAGGAGTGATATGAAAAATTGGCCCTGATATCTTCCCCCCAGTCACATGCCATTTAACGGGGTTATAAAAGTTAAAACCCCTGTCAGCTAACAGAAGTCAGTACCTACTGGCTCCAATGGATGCTGTTACAGCGTTCTCTCGCTGAGCTGTATGGGGCTTTTAGAGAGCTGCGGACAAGACCTTTGCCATAAAAGCTTTGTCAGGGAGCTGATAGATGAGTCTGTGCCCAACCCTATCCCATCTGCATCCTCTCTGCTTTTGTCTTTGGTACCCACAGATTCCTTTGCTAGATCCCTGGGCTCTAGATCCACAGATGGTGAGCTACGTAGCAAAAACTCCCAACCCATCTGAATAAGCCCTGTTCCAATCTGCCCAGTCAATCAGAACATCCCATCTGGTTGTGGCAGACTTGACACCAAGACACGATTGTGACATTTGTTTCACAACATGGTTAAACGGGCATCTCTATAGTGCTCATCGCAGCCTTTTAGTGTCTGTGTCACAGGGTTGTCAGCGTCAAGTGCCAGGCAGGAGAGTTTGTGATCTGGGAGCTCTTTCTCAGTGCACATGAAGAAGGAGAGAGTCACTGGTTCCCCTAGCTAATGAACATCCATCCATCCATCCTTATATGCTACCCACACTGTATTTGCAGGCTGGCCTCACCACACTGCCTCACTGATATAGTAAATGTTACTACATCACAGGGCACTTCCTTACCCCCAAACTCTGCAGGTGGAACCCAAAGCCAGAATATGGGTTCTGTCCAGTCCTAGGCTTTTTGCTGTGTGGATTAGCCTGAAATCACTGACATTCTCCAGCTCTGGGGAAGCTGAGTTATTAAGGAGCAGGTTTCTTCTTTCTTTTCTATTAAAAATTATTTAGCATGAAAAGAAGTTTGGTGGTGGACATTCTCCGTACACATTTATCATCCCAGTAAAAGGCAGCTTGTGTTTCAGCATGTAACACTGGAATTATTGTGTGCACGCTAATGCACCAGAGAGAGGAGGGCGCCCAAGGGGAAGAGAGAAAGGAAACATTTTTTTTAAAAGTCTGCTACATTGTTTTCAATCCTGTTACATTTACAGAAAGGGTTTGGGATCAGTCCAGAGTCTATCAGATCACAGTGTGGTCAGTTTGTTCCTTTCTGAAGTTAGGTTTTTATTTTAGGGACTACTGAAGGGAGCTTTACTGTACACATAGATAACATTGGGAGACAAAACTATGATGCCAGTGCTGTAACACTGTGATATGCCACTCGTTCATCTATTGGGAACTGTGCTTAAGCTCCCTTTCTAGGCATGATCTCAAGTAGGGTGAGGGCCAGGACGCATTGTTACAGGGACATACACACACACACTCCAACCAGCTATCAAGGATTATTCCTGGAGTGTGTAGGGACAAGCTCTAACATGCCTTCAGAATAATGCTGACTATTTAAAGCTTCTGAGGGCTGGGAGATCATATGGCAGAGGGCCGGGTGTGTGAAAACTGGGCACTTTCTGATGCTGTGAATGTGCTACAAAGGAAGGTGGGGAATGTGTGTGTGTGTGTGTTGGGGGGTCAAGCTGACCGAACGGAGAGGATCGTTATAATAATACTTAGCATTTAGATAGTGCTTTACATGTTCAAAGCACTGCATGCACGTTGACTGAAGAGTTTTAGGCATCGGTGCAGGAGGGACTGGAATTCACTGCATGATCATCAGAGGAGATTTTCATATTGGCCGATCTTTCCAGTGCACTACACAAGTGACCCATAGAACCGGGAACACCTCTCCTCCCCACCCACCCCCAGCCATTTCCCTGCAGCACAGAGCACTGGAAATAGAGTGCAAGCTGCTGACATGGTGGCACATGTTCTACCAAAATAGGATGAGCCATCATGCTTTGGTGGCGGCAGAATGGGCATCCTTGCCTGGTGCACCAAGTGCCGGAGGACTGCAGAAGCAAAATGAGCAGGGCTGTGGTAAGTAGAGGGATAGCCAGGGGAAACGTGGCTGGGCTGCATCTTCCCTCTTGCCCTAATCAAGCTGCAGCAGCATGTCTATGCAATTCGCAGCTGCCCTAGGCACCTCTATTGCCCTGGTATTGCCCTGGGACAGCGCATGTATGGTGAAGGGTGAGAATTAGGTGTGCCATTGCCAGCGGCTGTGAGCCCCAAAGGCCCTGGTTGGGGCAATGTGGATGTGAACCAGAGACAGAGGGTCACAGACAATGAGAGCTCATCTCACAGAGGCCCCGGCATGACCGAGCAAGAGTTACAGGAAGCCTGGATGCCTCTGTCATCAAGTACCAGCTTCCAGTGGAGAAGCATGAACTAAGATCAACATCAGGTGCTCAGCTATAACAGGGATGGGTGCTGTCAGTAAATAGGCTGATAGATCTATAGGGTCCTGCCCTGCACAGTAATAACAGGTGCTGTATCGGTGGGCATCCTTCGTAGCTGAGTTCCTCTCCCCCACAGACTGAGGAATTGGCTCTGGCAACTCTCAGCTCTCAATGGTCTGGTAGCGCTCTGTGCGGTCTGCATTCTCTTATGTCTTTGCAGCAGTTTCTTTCACAGATGCCTGGCCCTGAATGGCCTTCTGAGGACAGAATTCTGGGTTGCCTGTGCACCAACCTATCTGTGCACTGTTCAGGGATACACTGTGGTGTACTCTGTGTGCCTCCTTTTCTGAATCTTTTTTAAAAAAACGATTAATGAAAGTCTGACAGCCAATCAGATTTCACCAGTCTCCTGTCTTCATGGTCCCACTTTCTCCAGAGAGGTGGCCCCCAATCTTATCCAGCTCCTGAGAGAGAGAGCTTTGAATTTTCTCCTCCTTCCATAGAGTTTGCTCCCTGACGCTATGCCAGCTGTGGAGGTGACACAGCTATTTGTGGGTTGCTCCTTCTTTGCAATGACATCATCTTAGCTCTCTCTTGAGGACACAAATCAAACCAAACTGTGACTTCTGCAGCAAAGGAGACTTAGGTTAGACATTAGGAAAAACTTTCTAACTGGAAAGCTAGTTAAGCACTAGAATAGTCTTCCAAGGGAGGCTGTGGAATCCCCGTCATTGGAGATTTTAAAGAACAGGTCAGACAAACACCTGTCGGGGTGGTCTAGGTTTACTTGGTCTGGCTGTGGGACAGGGGAATGGATTAGATGCCATCTCAAGGTCCCTTCCAATCTTACATTTCTATGATTGTGATCTTTGCTGGCATGACAAGCTGTGCTAGGACAGGAATTTCTAGGCTCTGTCCGGTGGTGGTTACAATACACCAAGTATGTGCCTGGGATACGGCTTCATGCTGCATCTAGGTCTTTCTTCCCCTGTGTCTGTCAAGTTTTATTGATGTGTCATCATTCCTTCCTGGTTCCAGGCCGGGCGGCTGCCTAGCCCACTGCTGTCTACGTTGCCTCTTTTTGTCATCCTGGAGTTATGTTCATTCTCCTCTTCCCCTTGCTTTTAGATAGAGAGTCCTGTCCTGGTTCCTGGCAGCTTGAGGGAATCTCTGTTGCACTCCTTGGTATTTTGGAGGGTGGGAAAGAAAATCTCTCTTGGTTTCAATCCCTCTTGTGTGACAACCGTTCCTCTCTGTGCTTAGTGCCTCCCATTTTCTATTTCTAGTCTGTGATTGCTGTTTCTATATATGGGAAGGGTCTGCATACATCTTGTGTGTTTTACTGTGGCAAGGAAATTTGCTGCTATAGCAGTAACCAGATATCTGAGGGGCATTCCCCTCCTCCCCCTTACCCTGAATGCTCCCATGTCAATATCTATCTATATAATATGGAAATCTCACAAAAATGCCTTTCTCTTGCAAGCAAACTTGGCCCAGGATGCAAATGTCAACCCAGAGAATCAAAGTGACTCACTCTACACACACATATGTAGAGACTATTTTCCACGCAGCACGATCAGCTTGTTGGAAATCTATGTTATGTAACCGTTGGTTGTGAATCACTGGGATTACTGCTTGGAGTTGGCTGAGGAAGGCTCAGGCTGTGAAACCGATTCATGTAATCATCTATAATGACACTAATATAGAACATATTAATAATGGGACGCGATGTGTTCTTTCCATTTGCTTTGCCTTAATTAGTCCACCAGGCATCCTACCATTTTGCTCATTCTTTTGGCAGCCTTATTTATTATCTGCTGCTTCTGTGGGGGAAATGGATTTGAGTCCACCATGCAACGGAGGTGCTAATGTAACTGGCTAGGGTCAATCAAAGTCTGGGTGAGGGTTTTCCAAGCCTCCCAGTTCTTCTCTC